ATGACTTTCTAGATTGAAATTTAAAATACGATTTTTTTAAGCAAAAATGCCAAAAGTTGTCATATGATATGCCATTCTATTTAGAGTGTCATTTTCTATCGAATAAAGTAAAAAATACCGTTATATAGGGGAAATCACTCTTGAGAAACACCCCGTATATTATGATCGTGTGGCCCTAGAAAAGAATACCTTTTCTATAAATAAACTAGCGTGTACCAGCGACTTCGTTCGCGTCGAATTAATCATTTGTAATGGTGATGATAAAGCAAAGCAAGAATTTCCATTAACATACAAACTAGATAAAATTTTCTCACATTTATGTCAGTATGAGAAAAAACAATATGGCGATTTTATTATATAACTTGGTAATATTTGAGGGGTAGTTTTATCTCGTTGGAATTTGACTTTCGAAAATCCGTTTGCCAAAAATAAGCATTTAACGTCAAACAATTTAAGAAGAATCGTGGTTAAGAAATTACCCAACTTTTGGAACACCCTGTATGATTTTTTTAAAAATTTCAAAATATGTAAAAAAAAAAAAACAAATAAATTATGCTTGTCCAAGCGTTTTCCGAAAGACTAACCGTTTTTAAATAACAAATTTTATAATATTTGAGGGGCGTTTTCACCCTCTTGGAATTTGAGATTCGAGAAACCCCTCCTTATTGAACCTCTACACCCCACAGTCAATCCGTTTACCAAAATCAGCTTTAAACGTCAAGCAATTTAAGCACAATCGTGATTACTCAATGGTCATATTTTAAGAAACACCCTGTATAAATTTATAAAAAATCTTAAAATATGTAAAACAACAAAATAAAATATACGTGTTTAAGAGTTTTTCCGACTCTTCGAAAGAGACTTTCGAAAAATCCCTTCTTATCGAACCTCTACATCCTAAAGTCAATCTGTTTTTTAAATAAAAAATATTGTAATATTTGAGGGGTGGTTTCACCTTCTTGGAACTGGAATTTCGAAAAATCCCTTCTTATCGAACCTCTACACCCTAGAATCAACCTGTATGCCAAAATTGAGCTTCTTACGTTGAGTGGTTTGAGCAGAATCGTCATTAATCAGTATGTGAGTTACTTAAGGATTTTATATATTAGTATAGATTGTATATAAATTAAGTCCTATAAAACTTTTAATAAACACTCCTTCCAAAATTTCAAATATCAAACATATACCACCGAATCAAGCCTTAAATCACTTGCTATACGCACTACACGCAATGACGTCAAGGAAACCATTCACCCCCCACCCTTTCACCTGCCTCAAGATAACAAAAACGCCGAAATTACTAATAATAAGGGCGAAAGGGCCCCACAATCGAATACAGGAGCGGCCTTTATGACTTTTTCGTGTATAATTTCCTTCTTAGAAGCGAACAAATGACTTGGTGTATCTAGGTCGACATGAAATACCCCACCAAATTTATCGTTCTGATTTACTATCTTTTCTGTGCGTTCTTTTCATAAGGATAGGGTTATGATTTTCATTTTATTTCCTACCCTTGTACGGACGCATATGTAAATGAAGTCGTTTCAGGTTTCAGAAAAATATGTGGAAAGAAGTAGTAAGGCTTTCTATTAAATTAATTCGAGTAAATCATTTTGGGTTTGATAAGATTCTGGATGAATATTATTTTAAGGAAGGGTTTTTGTACGATGGACATTAATGAAATTAAGTAAATAAATCTTTTGTGTCTTCTATTAACGTTCCTTGCATATATATATTTTTTTTTGAAATTATTAAACTATAAAACTTTTTTTAACTATATTTTCTATTGCTTAACCATAACCCATTTGTGATTCTACTACAACAAATCGAAATAGTTCTATTCGTTTAAAAGACTTTCGGTCGGGTTTTACCTTCGAATTCCAGTTCTCGATTAGAATCGTTATTTATTACTGTACCGTACTCAGATTTATTGCCCCGGCAATTCTAATTTAAAACTCTTAGCCATAATTAGTTTCGAAAAATTTAATCAGCTATAAAAATGTTAATTAAAGCATATATCGTAATGCCGAATGTTGCTCGTCCAATAGAATTCAGTCCTGTTTAATTTTTACCGCTTTTTACGACGGTTATTAACCGATTTTTACAGTTCTTATCTTTAGAATACCCGAAAATAATATTTTTACTATTTAGATTTTTCCTTTACGGTCAACTGTTCACAACAAGGATATTTTTGGTTGTAAGGTTATTTTTTATTATATGATCTAGATTATTTATTAATTTCTTAAGTAAGATCACCAGATAAATCCCTAACACTTGAGATTCAAAACATTCAGTTTTAAGGCACTCTGTATACATAAATCACGTAAAAATATGTTTTTAAAATATTATGATTTTTAAAATATTATTCGCCAAAAAAATTCCGGTACCGAAATTACCGGAAATTCCCGGTTCTTTTGAGACATCAAAGAACCGGGATACGAAATTATTAATTCCCGGTTCAATTCGATTCAACTCCCAATCGAAATAAAAATGAAACTTCTACACCCTGTATCTCCGAAACTAATAGTCTAAGAGCTATATAGCAACGTTTTCGAGAAAGTATTTTAAGACGTCTGGCTCTTTGATATATCTTTTACTATGCTCTCTGGAACAGCATGCGGCTCGTCTGGCTGCCGATATCCGTTGCGTTCACTACTGCGCATCGAAAGAAGATCCTATATTTTTTGATTAATTTAGTACTATAAATTCTAGTATTGAATATAAATCGAATATGTCTCCATAGCGCAGTGAGTAGAGTTTGCGACCACGAACCGATGATTCAGAGTTCGAATCCGGTATATAAATATAAGATAGTACTATATACTAAGATAGTAAAGTATTAAATAATTCTGGTGATTTAAAAAAACAAATATTTAATACTTTACTATCAGAATATAAACGAAAATAAAATAAAAAGTCTTTGCCCTGACCCGGATTCGAACTCTGAATCATCGGTTCGTGACATCGGTTCAAGGACTAATAAAAATATAGGATCTTCTTTCAATGCGCAGTAGGGAACGCAACGTTTACCGGCATCCAGACGGACCGCATGCCGTTCTAGAGAGCATAGTAAAAATATATATCAAAGAGCCAGACGTCTTAAAATACTTGTTTTTCCGACGTTGCTAGCTCTAGTACTATAAGCATTTTAGGACATACATTTATACGAACTTTTTACTTATTTTTATCTGCAGAATATGCTGCCGAAGTTTCCGGAATACAACACTGATAAAAAAGATAGACTTGAACTAAAGTCGTCATCGTTCTTGAAAAAATTAGTGGCAAGAGAATTTATTTTAGCGTAAAAGAAAATATTTTGCCTGAAGAAAAAACTCTCTTAACTCAAGAAAACGGGTCTCTTGAAAAATTCGAAAATTTCTCTTGAATCTATTTTCATTCAACCAAGTGCAAGTTACTTTGTTTTAAGATAATAAGAAAAAAATACGCTAGGAAGTACGTCATTCAAGAAACATGGCCATTTTTCCAATAGCTAAATACTCCTTTGATGAAAAATAATAACGACACGCAAAGACGATGACGAAGGACGGTATACCTATACAATCAGTCGGCAGTCCGATCAGTCGTACGACTCGTAGGTCGCATTTGATAGGTAGCACATCATAGTACGCACGGGTTTTGTTGCTTGGAATTTTCCACTTGGAATTTTGCATAATTTGCTTTTTAAACGCATATCGTATAACAAATTAGTGTTCGTTATTAATATGCATTTGCTATTTTTTATGGACAAATTTTAGGATATATGGATTCTTTAAAGGAGTTTCTGAAAAATGGAAATTAGAGCATTTATTTGCTATACTTGAAGGTAAGAGACATTTACCTAATGCACCTGTTTAGATAATGCATGTGTGACTATAGATAGAATAAGTATATATGTATCGATTTTTATGCAAATAATTACAAAAATTTTAGAATTTCAAGTCGTCGTATTAAAAATTCAAAATGTGACCAAAGCTTATAATTTTAATAATTTATTTGCTTTACTTTGATTAATCGTGATGTAATATTTTTTTAATTTGTAGAGTGATGAACCACCCCAAAAAACACCAAGGAGTGAAGAAGCAGAAATAACTACTATCGAGGAAAATAATATCACTTTACTTACTACAGTCTAGGAAAACCTAACTTTATCAGAAAATAATATACCTCGTAATATGCCAGTATATGATGTATAGACTCCTCTTAGATCAAAATAAATTTTAGCTGAGTCAATAGTATTCGCTATTGGTTTAAGAAAAGTGTCTCTTTAATCAAGAAATGTCCTTTTTCAATCAGAATTTGTGAAATGTCCCTTTTCAATCAAGAATTTTGCATGAATCAAAGAGACTATTGTTCTTGTAGCAAGAACTTCTTTGCATATTAATTTTGGATCAAGAGTGAAATACTTTGGACAGATAGATTCTTCTATTCTCTAAAGTAATTTTTTAAAGCTTATGAAAACATAGTTAATGCTTTGGGCAAAGAAACGTCGTTCTTGGCCCTATTGAAAAGCGCCAATCTTCTGGGTCAAAGTCATATTCATTTCGACTGAGAGATCCTTTTTTTCAGTGAATTCGCACCACCCTGTATAGGTAGCGATCTATAAAATTTATTGCTGTTTATTTAAATGTGTTTTGTAGTAAATTGATCATACTCCAATATTGTGTGTACTTTACAATATGTTATAAAATAAACTGTAAGCTAAATTTCACATAAAAAATGGACTATTGTCGTTCTTTCCCCTTTCCCTGAAACATTCATAACTTTTTGATCGTACGGTACATATCGAAACGTGCAAATATAGTTTGACGGAGATGAACGCGAGACGCGAGACCAATAAAAACGGCGCGCCGCCACTCTGCCGTAAACAACAATAAAAATGGTCGCGTCTGATTGGCCGGCAGCAGGCCAAGTACCTACACATTATCAGGAAAGTAGTAGCAGGTGCGACAGAAACAGAGACAGAGAGAGAGAGTATCGAACAAACGAGAGTAAGCGCACAGTTACACACACCTTGATTGGACAACGCTGCGGTCGCATGGCCAGCTTACCTTTGACGATATGAGCGTCAAAGTTGGCGACGATTCCTGAAACAAAAGAATGGCGACGTTAGGTGAGAGAAGAGACTTGGGGCTAGAACCCGAACTAATACGTTATTCGCAACACTGATTATTCTAGGTAGCAAGTTTTAATATGTAGCAGTCTACTTGGCATTATTCTAAGTTTGCGCATGCATAAATTTAAGCATATACACGGTAGCTCATACCAGAAGGCACATTACAGGGATCTCGTAAAGCAGAAGAAGTACAAAGATGATTAACGCTTTTATGTCGTATTTTAAAAATTTATGGTAATCAGATATCACACTAAAGCCGGTCCTACACGATGCGTCCAACGTTGTAATCTAGCATAGGTTGTTTGTGTAATTTGGCACGGATTTCGACAATATGGCAATTAACAAGTGTCTCCTACGCGATGTGGCGAATGTTCATTGGAAGTTGTTCGTTGAATGTATGGAAATGAATGAAAATCTAATGACATCAACTTGTAGAGCAAGAAAATTAGCAATGTGAACGTGAAATTTGTATTGATAGATCTTTTCAAATAGTGATAGTGTCAAAAAATTAAAATAAAATTTCATTAATTTTTAAATTTAAATTAAATTTCGTTGTATCTTTGTATCTCTTCTGCCTTAAGAGATCCTTGTAGTGTGCATTTTTATATATGACACTGTGTATACTATGGAAAAATATATCCATCATAATATAATCGATAATACATACATAGGAGTATTATACACAATAGAGAAATAAATAATTTTATAAAATAAATAAGTAATTTTTCGGCAAATACTGCAGGTGCATCTACTCTATAACCTCACCCCCTGTAACTTTTTTATTTTTTCAGATAAAAAAACGAGATTTGGTATGTTAGTATATGACATAAATTAGGATTGATTGACGTATTCAATTGTTTTTGGTCTCTTTGTGTTTCTTGAAAATAAATTTATAGAAAATGACACTCTGAATAGAATGACATATGGCAACATTTGACATTTTTGCTTAAAAACAAACCGTATTTTAAAACTCAATCTAGAGTGCTATGGCTGTATTAAACCACTAATTGTCAATCAAGGAACCTTGTAAAAATAGTTTCGATCATCTAATGTTTTTCGTGTCTTGACTTGGCCGGTCAAAAAATGCCAAAATGTTAATAAATAAAAAAGTTATAGGGGTGAGCCACTTTTGAGACGCACCCGGTATACTATTATATTTTTGTATAAATACGAACCCGGTATTTAAAAAAAATTCAAGTTTTTTGAGCCCTTAAATCAATTATATTTAACGGATTATATTTATTGCGCCAATTTATACAGGGTGAGTCTTAAATAAGTGCAAATATTTTCAGGGCTAGTAGATGCCGTTAAAAGATTTTTTCTTTTTACCGTTTTTCAAATTAGGCCAAAATAACCGAGTTATTTTACTTTGAAAATTAAAAAAAAAATGTTTTTTTACTTAAATTTTGAGAATCACTGGATCTTTTCTGGGTTATCTTTCTTGTGAATTTATTCTACTATATATGTTGCCTTGTGTTTTTTAACTAAAAACTAAAAAAAAATTCCAATTTTTTTTTTCGAAAATTCAAAATTTGCAATTTTTTTGCGAAAAAACCTCATAATCGTGTTTCTGGGGTTGAAATATACTACCCCTAAAAATATTCGCAGTTATTTAAGACTCACCCAGTATATTAAGAAAATATTTAAAAAATACACAATACGGTACAAAAAAACACACAATACGGTATACGGCCATATGACAGAATAAAAGTCGTGATCACATAACGCTCTGATAAATCACAGTATCACTTGTCACGATATCCTGCATTAGTTAGTCATGACTCAGTACGAAAGTTAGTGTTTTGAATCACTGGTTTAAAAAAGCATATAGTATCAGTTAACAAGTGTGATTTAAAAATCACGGTATCAGAATAATAGTGTGATATAAAGATCAAGGTATCAATAACAGTATGCTTTAAATATCACGGTATCAGTTAAGAGTGTAATTTAAAAATCATGGCGTCAGCTAGCAGTGTGATTTATAAATCTCAGTATCGGTTAACTGTCTGATTTAGAAAGCACGGTATCAGATAAGAGTCTGATTTAGAAATCATGGTATCAGCTAACCGTATGATTTGAAAATCACGGTATCAGCTAACATTGTGATTTGAAAATCGTAGTGTCAGCTAGTAGTGTGATTTAAAAATCTCGGTATCGGTTAACTGTGTGATTTAGAAACCACGGTACCAGATAAAAGTGTGATTTCAAAATCATGGTATCAGCTAACCGTGTGATTTAAAATCATGGTGTCAGCTAACCGCGTGATTTGAAAATCACGGTATTAGCTAACCGTGTGATTTGAAAATCACGTTATCAGCTAACCGTGTGATTTGAAAATCATGGTCAGCTAGCAGTGTGATTTAAAAATCACGGTATCAATTAACAATGTGATTTAGAAATCACACTATCAGTTAACAATGTGATTTAAGAATCACGGTATTTCTCATCCCTACTACAAACACGTCGTTCCACCATTTTTATTAGTCTTTGTATTTATAAGTACCAGCCCTGAAAAATAAACCGAAATAACCTTGAGAACAGCCATATGTTAATTACGCGATTCAGTTTCAGCTGCGATGGATGGCAGCACCGTCTGTAGGTCGTCTAAACGCCGCCGTTCCAGGAACTTTTCAGTAATTTTAATTCGACATGAAACACTTATTATAAAACCGTCTTTTTTGCGCTCCTATTTCACCTGCTCTTTCGTCTATAAAATTCAAATTAAACATCGTAGTCGGCTCGGTGAACGCCCAAGGGCTCCTAAACAGCCAGAACATTGGCTATTTTAGACCGAAATAATATTCTTGGTGTAGAATTGATTTTTTCATAAATATAAAATAATATTACACTCGTCAGCACGTAAAACGGGCATCTTAAAATTTTAATGTGCTTTAAAGTTTAATATATACAGAGTGAGTTTCCTACGATGTTCTCTATGGATATCTCGGAAACTACTGGAGATAGAAAGTTGGTTAAATGGGGAAAGAATTGCAGTTTTGTGGGGTCATAAATATTTGCTTTTCAGATTTTTGAAAAAGTTCATGGCTTACTAGATATTTTGAAAAAAATTGTCCCTAATTCATTATAAGCTATTTTAGATAAAAAGTTTTCAGATAAAAGTTGTAGATAATCACATCCTTAATGAAACCGTTTCCTCCGTTTTTTTTTCTAAAGCCTGTCATTTTTGACATATGACACAAACATAGGTTTTTTTAAATGGAAACCATAGTTGGCCATGACTTCATAAAAAGCGCCATTTTTTAAGCTTTTTAGTTATATAAGCTATAATATCTTTTCTTCGAAAAATTACTGAGTTATAGCCAATTCTTATCATTTTTAAACAATTTCACTTAGTTAGCCATGGAAACAAGTTCAATCGCCGTTACTCTCAGAAATGTGAAGCTGTCACGTCCAAACTTTGTAAATTAAAATAAACAAAAATTGTAAATATGAATTTTTCAAATGAAGAAAAGCGTGTAGATATTCGCGCATCAATAGAGTGCTTCCAACATGACTTTTATTATGACACACCACCCCTCACCCCTCATAATGAAAGAAATGTTAAAAATTATTTATATCATAAGTATACAAAAGCAGGGATAGGAAGAGGTGGACTATTTGGGGCCTCTTCCCAAATAGACCACTATTTGAGACCATGGGCCTCCTCGATCACCTCACCTATCCATTTTAGAATTTTTTACGCGGTATAGTTAACAATAAGGTTTACAAAAGAACTTATGAATTAAGAAAGGCACTCGAAGTGGCGTTTAGAAAAAAAAAAAAAACGGAGGACACAGTCTCATTAAGGATGTGATTATCTACAACTTTTATCTGAAAACTTTTTGTCTAAAATATCTTATAATGGAATTAGAGACAATTTTTAAAATAGCCGATATTTGTTTTTTTCGAAATATCTAGTAAGCTATGAACTTTTTCAAAAATCTGAAAGGCGCATATTTATGACCCCACAAAACTGCAATTCTTTCCCCATTTAACCGACTCTCTATATCCAGTAGTTTCCGAGATACCCATAGAGAACATCGTAGGAAACTCACCCTGTATATAATAATATTATATTTGATCGTGATCAGTTCATTTCGCTCGTAAAAATTAACCAAAGCATGTACTGACATGAATCAGAAAATAAAATGCTGAGGAGTCATGTTTCTGATCGTAAAATTATATTTTAGGAAAATCTACACACGAAATTATTGCACAGGGTGTTTTAAAGTTAGGGTAAAAAGCAACCCCTCGATTAACCCTGTATAATATGCCAAATACTAAAGCTTCTAAAAAACTTAATTCAGGAATTAAAGTTGATATAATTATATACACTTTGCTAAAAACCATGAAAATAGGGCTAGCATAACAAAAATGTAACACTTTTGAAAATTTGATCAACATTTTCTTGGTTGCGTTTTTTTGCATCTGAGTGTATATAACTCTCTAATTGTATTACTGTATGGTAAGTGCTTTTTGGCTTTCAACCATTTCCGCATGGACTATATTCCGGTTTCAGGCTGTAACAGGTAATCGACCACATCTGCGAGATACAATTTACCCAACTCTATCTCATTCTGTCCATCGATCCTCCATTTATCTTTATATCTTTTCACTCTCTCACTGGCTCTCATGTTTGTAATTACGCTAATGTCATTTCTGGGAATCTGTCGGTCAGGGTGCAGCAGTTTTTATTTTCACTCTCGATGGTAAACAATTTGGCGACGACCATGTTGCTATTAACTTCAAAATGACTGCTTTATAAAATATTGCTCATGTATAAATGTATATATATTCTAGTATGAACAATACACTAAGAAGACGATCATTTTATTTTTATTAATTTGGTTTTGTGAGCAGTGGTGACGCTAGAACTTCCTACTTTTTTTTAGAGGCCATAATACATGTAATAATGTAGGGTGATGCTTTGTTTTACGACTTTATAAAAAAAACGTATATCCATTTTAGTAA